CCTTTGAACGGGCCATGAAGCTGGAGCAAGAGTTTACAGAACATTTCACAGGTGGGGAGCCTCTGCCTCCATCCCACGTGTGTCCCCAACGCCGTTGGTGCTCCCTTCTTTTTGCTATCTGGGGGGGGAATCCCGAAATGTCCCAGGAGCAGCCGGAACGTTCCCTGTCTTGGGGACGATGACAGGAATCGGTTGTCTATGTGGCCCTGGAGCCGGCCTCTGTGATGCCTGGCCTCTGGAGTCTGCACCAGGCAGTTCTCTCCTCTGGTTCCCGATGCTCCCGAGCTTGGCTCTGTCCGTGGAAGGGCCAGTTAGGGGAGGTTGGGGCCCGGCTGCTCCCAATTTGCAGCGTGTGGTTTTGCATCTGCCATCTTGGGGGGATTCGGCCCAGGGCTCCCCTACACTAGGGATCTGGAAGGAGAAGGCCCTGAATAGCCCACCCCCACCCCAGTTTCTGAACATCTTTAGGGGAAGCAGCTGAGCCACAGAATCCAGGGGGACCAAGCCTCGCAATAGAGTTGGGGGAGGGGGAACTGCAAGAACTCTGCAAGCAAGGGAAAGAGCAGAATGGGGTCTTCAGCAGCTGTCTTGTTTGTGTCCCTACAGCCATTGTGCAAGGTGACACATTGGAAGAGATTTACAATCATGTCAAGCAAGTCATTGAGGATCACTCCAGCCCCGTCATTTGGGTGCTGGCCAAGGAGAAGCTCTGAGGGTCCCCCAACTCCAGGAGTCGGCCTCCTCCACCGCCAGCCAGCCAGCCAGCCAGCCTTCCTGCCTGCCTGCCTGCCTTCCTGCCTGCCTGCTGGCATTCGCTCCTCTGGGCTCCCCTGCAACGTACAAAGCCTAGTTTCAGCTGCTGGTCGAGGGCTCTCTTCTCAAGAATCAGGAGACTCTTTCCACCCCATGGATCAAAATGGAGAATATTGCGGTTAAAATTCCTTAATGTTTAAGGGAAAGTATCCTTCAGAGACTCTGAGAAAACAAAGCTTTTTATGCAGCCTTTTAACGATTTTGTAATAAGATGAAAGAAAAGTGGTCTTAATGTAAATTGTGAGCAGTTTTGCACGTTTGAATTTGCTAGCATGGTTTCCTTCAAGAGATTTGGGTTCAAATTATAATTTCAGTTTCTGCCACAAACATATATTTTTTCTCTTAGTTTAATAAAAATCTTTTTTAAAAAATCAAAGCTAATGTATTCTTAAATGGCATTATTTGAAAAGGAAAAACTAATTTTCATAATTAAACAAGAAAATCTTTATAGCATTATTATTTTTCTTGTTGCTCTTACAGAGTGAAATGTTCTCCTGTTTTTAAACTAGGTCCTACAAAACTACTTGGAATGTCTTCAGATCATAATAGATAACTGCATTTTTAAATTTTAGGTGCTTAAAAACCTTGGACTTTGCTTAAGAATTATGGATTTTGCTTTGAAAATATTATAAAGGCAATTATAATGGTTATAAATTCTCAATATCTATAAATATAAATATATTCTTAGCCAGATTTTAATGAATATTTTACTGATAATAATTGCTTATTTTGTTATAATGAAACTATATATATATATATACACACACACACACACACACACATATATATATATACATATATTAAACTTTCCTGAACTAAAATCTAAGCGTGAGAACTGTTTTTCTTAAAAACGCCCCACAAAATGCATAATTTTCACATCTAGTTTTGAGAATAGAAAAGATTGATTATAAGCAAATCAGCTTTTGCTGCTATGTTTTTGGCAGGTTCCTGCCCCATCTGAGCTTCTGAACCCAGAGCAGTGCACCCTGCTGTCCCATCCTACGCCCCAGGCAAGTGGAGACGGACCTCCAGTGGTTTCCGTTTAGAGGCCAGAGTTGAAATGCGTCTGAAGCCAAGTTATAATTGCCTTTCCTTCCCTTCAGCTTCCCACAGGCTTCCCCTGTGCTTTTGGGTCCAGCTCAAGGGGATCACCTATTAAGCCCTGCATGGCAGGGATCCAGGCTATCTGGGAAACTGGCTCAGCCCGATGGATTGGCCTTTATTTATTGTTTTGATGTTTTATTTTTCATTTTATTCAATGTCTGTAAGCTGCCTAGAGCAGGGGACTTCAAACGTAGCCCTTTTATGACTTGCACGTCATAAAAGGGCCAGGTTTGAAGACCCCTGGCCTAGAGCCACCTTGGGTGCCATGGGCGGCATACAGATTTGATAGATAAATAAAGCTATAAACAGCCCTTATCAGTTCTTCAGAAAAAGAGCTACTAAACTGTGTAAATTGCAGAGTGTGTTGCTATTACATCACAGAGAAAAGATTAAGAATTGGGTTTTCAGACAGAACTCTGGAAATAAAAATGAAACTTGCCAGCAGCACCTAGTAAAGTTTATCCTGATGTAAAAGAGGTGGCTGTGGGTAGTCTCACAATAGACGTGTGTTTCTAATTTGCCATCACTAGGCTGGTGTTGTTTTCTTCATCCCTTGTGAATTTTATTCCTTGGAAGATGATGTTGGTAGTCTCCTGTGTTTTCTATAGTTGGTCCTTTTGCAATATGACAAAGACGTCATCTGCATGCTGAATCCATACTTTGGGTTGTATGTAAGGGAGTACTAAGAGCCGTGGTGGCGAACCTATGGCACGCGTGCCACAGGTGGCACGCAGAGCCCTCTCTGTGGGCATGCACGCCATCGCCCCGGTCCTAGGCCTTCAGCTGGGTGTTATAAAACTGCTGCCATCTGCAAAAAAAAGGTTCAATCAATCAATCAATTTCAACATCTCTTGGGGGGAAAAAAAGATCTCGCAAAGTTGGAATTGATTAATTGAACTTTTTAGTCCCACCCAGTCTGCTGTTACCACTGCAGCCATGCCCACCCAATGGGCCACGCCCATCCTACACTCAACGATGCAGAAGTGGGTTTTGGGTTGCAGTTTGGGCAGTCCGTCTCTAAAAGGTTCGCCATCACTGCTGTAGAGTATGGGTTCTACAGTGAGGGAAAAAATCATTTGATCCCCTGCTGATTTTGTACGCTTTCCCACTGACAAAAAAATGATCAGTCTATAGTTATGGTAGGTTTATTTTAAAACAGAGAGGCAGAATAAAAACAAAAAAATTCAGAAAAACGCATTTCAATGATTTGCATTTTAATGAGTGAAATAAGTATTTGACTAGAGTTAATCGAAGCCAGACTGCCATCAACCAAAAGAACCAAGCCTTTGAAACAAGCCATAGTAAGCTGCCTGGCCAACCCAGCTGAGCTGAGCGCCTGGGTCAATGAGGCTGCCTGCAGCGGGGGCCGAAGGGGCCAAACTGCTGGGGATAATCACCGGGTGATGTATGTATCGGTCCAAGGCCTAAAGCTGCCCATCTCACATAGCAAGGGATTCTTGAGTGGCGTACAACAACCTTAAAACAATAAATGCATTAAAAGCTTAAAAACAAAGCTAAGGCAAGTAGTGGGTGAAGAGATGTTGATGATAACGGAGCCACCTCACTAACTCCTCCCTCCCCCTGAGGTGCCCAGGCTTGATGGCACAGCCAGATCTTGAGGGACCTTCAGAAGGTCAGACGGGACGGAGCCGACTTCGGCTCAGCTGGCATGAGGGTATTCCACAAGGGAGGCACCCCAGCAGACCCCCACGCCCCCTGGGGCCAGCCAAAGGTTACACGGAACCCACAGACCCTAACCCTCTGCTGGGTCTGGTGGGATGGACAGATGTGCAGAGAGCGGCGCTGCCTCAGATAACCGGTTCCCTGCCATGTAAGGCTGTGAAGATTAACATCAGCACCATGAATTGGATCCAGAAATAAACTGGGAACCAGTGCAGCTCACAAAGCAGAGGTGTGTTCTACCGGAAACACACATAACTGCTTGTGTCACTGCATTTTGTACCAGCTGAAATTTCTGAACAGTCTTCAAGGGCAGCCCCATGCAGAGCACATTACAGTAGGCCAGCCAGGCGGTGACCAGGGCGTGAGTGGCTGTGAGAAGGGTCTCTCCATCTAGGAACAGGGCACAACGGGCACACAATAGAGAACTGTGCATTTCTCATTTCAGTGAATAATGTTTTTAGTGTGTTCTGGGGTGTTTCATATTGTACAGGTAATTCTCGACTTGCAAGTGCAGTTAGGGCCAAAATTTCTGTTGCTAAGTGAGACATTTGTTAAGTGAATTTTACAATCTTTTTTGCCACAGTTGTTAAGTGAATCACTGTGGTTGTTAAGTTAGTAACATGGTTGTTAAGTGAATCTGGCTTCCCCATTGACTGTTCTTGTCAGAAAGTCATACCAGGGGATCCCGTAACCCATTGGGACGCTTGGCAAGCAGCATGAAAACAAGTTGCTCAGCCATGAATTTTGTTCACATGACCATGGGTGTAATGCAACGGTCATAAGTGTGAAAAACAGTCATAAGTTACATAAGTTAAGAACTGCCTGTATCTTGGGTTGTTGCCTTTGTTCCTGTTACAGTTCCTTCTTCATTTTTTGGGGGGGGGAGTTGATTTGTTGGTTTTTAACGTTAACCACTGGAAGTGGTGAGAACATTGTGGGTGGCCAAATGGTTTATGCCATAAAAATAGATAGATGCCCCTGAGGTCAGCTGCTGTCTAATCTGGCTCTGCTGCTGCCAGGAGGGTCTGGCCTGACCTCAGCTCAACATCCCTCCAGTCCCCCCCCCAACCATTTCCTCCCTCCGTTTCCACGCTCCCTTCCCTGGGAGAAGAATGAGGTGGGCTTTTGTGCCCTGTTCCCTGGCTGGCTGCTCTGGTCTTCCTTGCTGAGAAAGCCGCTATTCTTTCCAACCATGAGGTGGTAGTGCTGGACAGGCCATACTCCTCCTTTTCCAGGCATTGCCTACATGGGGGGGGGGGGCTGGAGGACACATTTATGAACCTTGGCAGTTATTAACTTCTCCAGGCGCAGAGCCTCGTTCCCCACCCCAAGGGCCAGCCTGTGTCCTAAGAGGGAGGGGCCCGGGGGAGGACCAGGCTGCGGAAGGGGCCAGAGTCCTCCGTTGGCTGGCAGGGCCGGAGAGAGGAGACGCAGGGCTTCCGCCATGAGGTCCTCAAAGGGTTTTCTTGCCCTTCTGCTTTGCTTCCCCACAGGTAGGAGGACGCTTTTCTTGGTCATGGTGGATTCAGGAGATGCTTCTGGTGCAACCTCTAGAGAAATCCCAGCCGTCTAACTTTCCTCATACGCAGAGATGTTCCCCTTCCAGCTTGCAACAGCATCAGTTACTCTTGTATTTATCGGTGGGATTTTTGTGGGCTCATGCTTTAACTAACCCTTGTTATAATTTGAAGAAAAGGGGGGGGGAATATTTGCGAAAGTATATTCCAATAAGTTCAGGACTTTCTTTCCTTTGCTTTCTGGACAATACGGAGATGCAGACCAAGACAAAATGGCAGGCTTATTTAATAAGAACTGCTTTGCTGCCTCCTGTTGCCTTCCGGATCATTGCAAGTGCTCGTGGAAAACTGTCTTCTCCCACCACCATGGCTGCTCCGAATATGAACTGGGCTTGTTCCTTACAATGTGGCTGAAACCTTAGAAAGCTGGGAAGAGGAGGAGAAGGAGGAGGCAGCAGCCTGTCCAAAGAGCAAAAACTGCCCCTGCTGTGGCAAAGACGCGGATTGCAATCTGCGCCTTTTCTTGGGCGCAATGACCAGAACGGCAGAACAGCAGAGAAGGGGCCTCTGGTGGAAAGAGGAGAGCAGGGTCTCCCCTCTGGCAGCCACAGCCAATGGGCACCGGAATCCGCCTTGGGTGGGAAAATAGGCCACCCAGAGCAAGGCTTGGGCAGGTTTTGGCTTCTTTCTTTGGTCACCAAGCGTAGCCGAGGGGGTTTCTGGGTGGTTACTGAGACGGTTAACACACCAAGCGTTGTTCTCCCTTTATGCCTCTGCTCAGGCAGGTCTTCCAGCGATTCTGTTAGCCAGAAAAGCTTTAATCCAGCCCAAAACAAAAAAAAACACCTTGCCTGTCCAAGAATCCAGTGAGGTGAGTCTAGTCTGAGCTAACCATTAGGAGGCTCACGACAGTGTTTCTGCTACCTTGCTGGTCTGAGTTTCGGCAGTTTGGATGTGGGCAGTGCCCAAATCCAATCAAAATCAAATCAATAAATAGAAGAAGTCAGCTAATGGGAAAGACTAGTGCGCAATCCAGAGGGATGGTTATGATGCCCTTCAGTAGGTATTTTCGGCATAGATCTATTCACCATAGTGACTTTAGTTATATTTGGAAAAGTTATTTTTCAATTTATTTATCCAATGTATATGGCCTCAACAAGTGACCCAGAGCAGCAAACAAAGTTACAGTTAGAATTATAAAAGCAATTATACAGACTGCAAAAGTTAAACTACACAATGGTTGAGCAGCTTCCACCCAAATCACTAGCATAACTAAGAAATGGGTCCCTGTGTGACGGGTCCTTGGGGTCCCAAGCCCAGGCCAGAACCAGGGCCTTACGGAAGACCAGCAGGGTCAGGCTACCCTGATGTCCAGAAGCAGAATCTTCCAGAAAATCCTCAAGGCCCTGCCAACTACCCTTTTACGTGCCCTTCCTTCCTGACTGGATCATTTGGGTAGAAACAACTGGAGAAAGCTGGTCCCTGGAATTGGCAAACACAGTTTACGGGAGGACTTGATTCTGGGATGCCTGCTATTTCATCCATGAATTCTGAACTGCTCTTTGCACGGGTGTGTATTTGGGTTGTGTTCTTTTCAGCTGCGACATTGAGCCTGCTGCGCTGGTGCGCAGTTTCTGACCAAGAGTTGGCCAAGTGTAGCGACATGAGCAAGGCCTTCTCCAGAGCAAACATCTCCCCTGAACTGGCCTGTGTCAATGGTGGCTCAGTGATTGACTGTGTCTCTAGGATTAATGTAAGTGTGAAATATTTGCTTCCGGATCTGTCAGAGAAAGGGAGGGCAGTGTGAACGGTGTATTGCAGGGGCCCCCAACCTGTGGGCTGTGGCCTAAATGCCACTAGGCTGAGTGACTGGCTGGCTGGTGCTTGTCCATCTAGGACCCGACTCGCGCAAGCAGCACTGTGAGTGTCAGTGGCCTTTGTGGCCCACTCGCGTGAGCATTGTCACAAGCACTCGCAATCCCAATCATGCGAGCCTTATCGCCGGAGTCCTCTGTCCCACTTGCACAAGCCTCATTGCAGGTGCCTGTGGCCCCACTCACACGTCACTGTGAATGTCGCGGGTGCTCATGCACGCATGTGTGTGCATACACACGCACCCGCACACACACACACACACACACACACAACACACACACGTGTGTGTGTGCCTGCCCCTCCCACAAAATCATTCCCTCTTTCCCGGAAAGGTTGGGGAACTCTGGTTAAGCAGGGCAAAGCTTTTGGGAAATGGTCTGGCCACACCACCCTTGGCTGCTGCTTCACTCTGCCCATCTCCTAAGAAGGCTTCTTGTGGCATTTGCCAGGCAGCCTCCGTCCTTACCAGGAAGTTCTCTTTTTGCCTGCAGCGGAATTTGGCCGATGCAGCCACTGTGGACGGGGGCATCCTTTACCAGGCTGGGAAGGAGCACGGTCTGAAACCAGTCGTGGCTGAGGCCTATGGCAAAGGTAAATGGGTGAGAGGGGCAGCAGGGCAAGACTCAGTAGCTGCCTATTAAATAGCCATCATAAAGCTCCTTTGGACCAAAGAAGAGGCCACAAGACCAGTAACCACCTCTATGTCTTCTGCCTCTCATGGATTTTGTAGAATTACCGATACTATTTTGCACTTGAGGAACTGGAGGTGAAAGAAAAGACACTGTTCCAGATCCGCCCAGCGGAGGAAACGACTCTGTTGAGGGCAAAAGGTTCAGCAGTGTGCAAAGCACTGATAAATCTGAGTCTGTTTTCATTGTCTGCAAAGTACTTAACAAACGCCTCATTGGCCTCTTGTTCTCTTTTGATGCTCTTTGGACTGAGCAATTAAATTTGATGCAGCTCTTTAGATTTTAGAGCAGTTGGGTTCATTGTAATAATAATAATAATAATAATGATGATGATGATGATGATGATGCCAATGGTGTTCAAGTGGTGCTCCAGTTGTTTTTCCAGTTGTTTTGCAATTCTAAAACAACTGGAGCACCACTTGAACACCATCATCGGCATTGACAAATTCGCCATTAGTCAATTGCAAAAGGCGGCCTTACTAGAACTGTTTCCATCCTACGACGATATCTGTAATACCATCAAACATCCACATCTGCCTATCCCAGGTCTGGGTAAGGACTCGATAGGTAGACAAAATGCCAAACCCAGTCTGAACATCTGGCTGACTGTGCGATGATCAATAATAATAATAATAATAATAATAATAATTCCTCCTCCTCCTCCTTAAAAAAATAAAATATTTCATTCTGCTGTATGTGATAGAAGAATGTTATTTCCCAGACCAAGGAGGGCTCCTGCTATGGGCAGAATGCTATCGCTGCATTTGGGGGGTTTGCCTTCACCCGGCACTCCTCCCCGTTTACTTCACTCCTTGTGAACGCAACAGAGAGAAGCTGGACTAAGTGGCCTTCCCGTTGCCTCTCTAGACCTTGGCACCTCCTACTATGCAGTGGCAGTGGTGAAGGCGAGCTCCAGCCTGACCATCAACCACCTGAGAGGAGCCAAGACCTGTCATACAGGGATCAACCGAACAGCTGGCTGGAACATCCCGGTGGGCTTCCTCCTTGATAGCGGCCGAATGCCCATGATGGGTTGCAGTGTCACCCAAGGTAAGTCCTGCCCAGGTCGTGGGAGGCCTGCTGGGTCCACAAAAGGACTTATCCCCCATGGTCCTTTTCCTTGGGGCACGCAGGGAGGCAGGATGGAGGAGGATGCTGCAGCTGAAGATGCAGCCCCTCTTCTCTTTCTTCTCTTTCTCCTCCTCCTCCTCCCCCAGCCGTCAGTGACTATTTCAACGCCAGCTGTGTCCCTGGGGCAACTGCTGTTGGGGACCCTGCCTCCCTCTGCGAACTCTGCATAGGAGACTCTGCTGGACAGAGCAAGTGTGAGATGAACTCCAAAGAGGGATACTATGACTACTTGGGTGCCTTCAGGTATCTGGGGGGGGGAAATGCTCTTTTCCTTGGAAAAGCCACAGGGGGAGGGGAGGGGATGCCCTACTGCTGCAGAACCCTGCTGCAGGCCAAGATGGGGGCCTTGGGGGTCCTCTGGGTGGGAAGTGCCGAGGGTCTGTGGCCAACGATGGCTGGTGCTCCCCACAGGTGCCTGGCGGATGGGCCAGGAGAAGTGGCCTTTGTCAAGCATACCACGGTGACCGAAGCCATGGACGGTGAGCCATTCCACAGGGGGAGGAATTCCCTAATCTAAGTTGGGCTTCCTTCTCGTCCTGCTTCACCCCCGCCCCTCTTTTGGCCCAGAAAAGACCAAATTGAGTGGGTCTGTTTTTCTTTGTTACCTGTTAGCATTTTGTCTTCTTCACCGAACTCCTTAGTATACCGATTCTTTTTCTTTTGAGCAGATTTCTACCATACCCATTCCTTTTGTTGTGGTTGTTGTTTTAAGTGTCTTTCCCCTCCTGCAGCTTAGTCCGAGTGTTTGTGTGCCTGACATCCCCACCAGCCTAGTACGGGCCGGCCTCTTCCTCGGCTGCTTCTCCTTCTTTCCACTCCCCATATCCGTCTTCGCTTTGCTTTCACGTCTCCTATGCAAAAGGCTCCTTGTCCAGCGTCTTCTCCTACCTCTCCCTCTCCCTTACTCAGATTGCGTTCTAATTGTGCTTTCAGTGTCTCCTTCTTTAGGAAGTCCTGCTCATCAGCTTCTCTTGCTGTAAAATGTTATGTATCAGCATCCCATGTTTGTAAAATTCTGCTTTTCTAATGTCAAAGGTTTGCTTTCGGCCAAATTTTCTTTTTTAGGTTGCCCTAAAAGTGGTTCTCAACCTTTTTAATGCCGTGACCCCCAACCGGTCCTAAGTCGAGGACTACTCAACTGGTGCAGCACCGTTTGCAGAATGGGACTTTTGGCGGGCTCAGCAGGGCAGAGACAGCCTGGACAATTCCTATTGGCTTTTGAAAGCCAATAGAACAGAATAAAAGGGAGTAGCACAGCTAAGGAAAAGGGGAAAAAATGGCGGACTGCGTTGTTTGGTGACCCCCGTGAAATGGTCGTTCGACCCCAAATGGGGTCCCGACCCACAGGTTGAGAACCGCTGCCCTAAATAAAATATCCAACATTCCACAATCCTGTCAATTCTCAGTCAAGCCTTCCGTGCCCAGAAAAAGCTCTCTCCAATCCTCTCGGCCTTACTCAGAGGGGAAAGATGTCAGGAATTTGCAGGAGGCAAGAGGAATTTGGGCAGAGTGTGTCTCCCATCCTCCTCCTCAGTTCAGAGGGTCCAAAGTGTGGCTGGCTGGCTGGGTCGGTGGGTGGGAAGCGAGAGGAGTCCAGCCAGGGCAGGCCTGGTCACACTCTTATTCTCCCAGTTGGCAGAGGGGAGGGGCGCGAGGGCAATCTGCTTTCCCAGAAATTTACCCCTAACTGCAGGTTGGGTTAGGTGGGCGCATGTTTGAACGTCAATTATCAGAACAGACACAGTGTCCTCTGGATAATCCTTGGGTAGGTGATATAGAATGTTAACAGGATGTGAACCCAGGAATTATGGCTTGTAAACCTGGGTTTAGCAAGTTAGTGTGAAACCAGACTGAAATGTAAAAGTTCAGCTATTTTGTCAGTCATAAGATGCTTCCTAAAACTATAAATTAAAAAAAGGAACAGCCATTTTTAAATGGCATATATTTACTTTTCTTACTGTTTCACCATTTTAAAATAAACCTAATTTATGTTCTGGGCCCTCTTGGAATGACCTATCTCTGCCCAGATGCTTCATAATGTCAGCAGCCCCTCCCAAATGCCCAGCCTAGAGCTCTGCTCTGGGGTCCGCCTGGTGTGGGGGAGGAGAGGCCAATCTCTCCTTTCAGGCCAATGCTCTCCTTCCAGGCCAAGCTCAGCCTTCCTGGACCTTGGAGGACTTCCAGCTGCTCTGCCAGGACGGGAGCCGGGCGGCAGTCAGCGAGTGGCGGACTTGTCACCTGGCACGGGTCCCTGCTCATGCCGTGATCACCCGACAGGACGTGGAAGGCAGCCTCATCTTTAAAGTGCTGGATCAAGGACAGGTGAGCTTCCCAGACTCCGTAGAGGATGGTCTTGTCTTTGCGTGTTGCTGCTTGCGAGCCCGTTAGAGATTGAGCGACCGAAGCAACAGGCGTGTGCGTTTCATGACACTGTCTTACTGAGCTCTCTTCTCCTCAAAGCAAATTCAGCAGGTGGTGGTCTCGGTACTGAAGTGGTTCCTCTGCCACAGCTGTGCCTTTCACAGCTGCAGGGCTGCCCGACATCCATGGGCCGAGCAGGAGCCTCATGCCAGGGCAGTTGCAGCTCAGGGCTGGCAGAAGGGAGACGCTGCCAAGTGGGCAGGACCTATTAATGGCACCACGCAGGGCCACGATGAGGGAGGCTCCCAGCTGGGTTTTTAAAGGAAAGAGGCCTCCTTTGCCTTTTCCAGTCTAGTCGGCATATACTGTAACGTTTTTGGGTGCGCTTGGCAGAAAAGTCTGAGGACCCTTCGGAAGGTTTGGTCTCTCCTTGCCAGTGCCCCATATGGGCGGCTCAGGGCTCCTGCCGGAGCACCAGTGGGAGGCCGTGGCCACCAAAGCTTTTGGCCAGCTGTGCTCTTCCTGGCTGTCCTCTGGTTAAGACCCCCCCCCCCCGAGGACTCCAGGTAAACTCTCCCTGGAGGTGGCCCTGAAACTCCTGCTGGCCGCAGCACAGGAGGCAACGGCCTGGCTGCTCCTTGGTGGAAGCCTCTTTAGCAGAGTCCAGCCTCTTGCCAGTAGAGCACAACCGAAGATCTTGGTGACCGTAAAGCCCTCTAACCAGGCTCGGCTCCTGGTTCCCTTTTGGTCTGCCCACCATGCTCCAGCCAGGAGTGGAGGGGATGCAGGTTCCCACCCCGGGAGACGCAGAGCATGGCCTCCCCAGGGAATAGCTGGCTCTCCACATGTCAGGAATGATTTAGGAAGGTGATGAACATTGGTGCTCAAGTAGACAGGCAGAGATTTATGGGTATCCTGATTTATAGTTGTTTAATGGGTGGTTGTTCTTATGTATAATGTTAAGTGATGAAAATTTATTTTCAAATGCTTGGAAATAAATAACAACATGTCATGAAACCTTGTGCTGCCAGAAATTCCACAATGTGATCGGGTGAGAGCTTGGAGGCAGTAAGCGGCCCATCCTTTTAAGTTAAGTAGGTCCTTCTGAGAGGGAGATGGGCAGTTTCTAAATGTGATAAATAAAATAAAAATAAATAAAGGACCTTCTCCTTAAGGCATTTCTAGGCTGGATTCTTATCCCACTTTTCCCCCAAGAGATCTGACTTCCGTGGGGATTTTCCTCCGTTACATCCCCACACGGATCAGTGTGTCCGGTCCAAAGTTACCCAGGAAGTTTCAGGCTGAGTCTGGCTTTGACCCGGATCGCGATGGTCTCAGCCCAGCAGCTGCATCCCTGCAGCCTCCTGGCTTCTCCTCCCGTGCTTTGGCTTACTCACCCCCCCCCCCCAGGGAGAGGGCCGCATCCTCTCAGCTTTGGCTCTTCAGCCGAGCTCTGAGGAAGGAAAGTGCTGCCACTCGGCTGGCTCTCACCTCTCGGAGGAGGAGCGAGAGAGGGCAGCTGCTAGAGCTGGCCTGGGCAGGTAAAGCTTTCGGGTTTCAGCTGACATTCAGGTCAGGCCCTTTTCAACTTATCAGAGAACGGCAGATCTGAAGCCCCATTGTGGGCTTGTCTTCAGGAATTCAGAGGTTTTCCCAAGGCAGATGTGCTTTTTTCTCTCCGTGCTACAGCAAAATTTCAATGGTGGAAACTCCAGCTTCCAGATGTTTGACTCTGCAGTCTATGGAGGGAAAAATCTTCTCTTTAAAGACTCTACCGTAGAGCTGGTTCCCATTATGGAACAGACCTACCAGGCTTGGTTGGGAGATGAATACCTGCGTGCCATGCGAGGCTTGGATTGTGATCCTAAAAGTATGTCTTGCAAGTTGCCTTTATAACAAAAAAAAATGTCTTCTTGGTTCCGAAAGGGAGATTTGTCTCTTATTCACTAAGAGTATTCTAAGATCTTTTCCAGGGACTTTCCCATAAGATCTCCTAGTTCTCTTTTTCTGGATGCCCCGAGGCTGCTTTTACATCATCAGGATATTTGGGGATTTCGGATTTTGGACCTTACTGAATATCTCACTGTTTGCCAGGCAGAGAAGCAATGACTTAATTTTCTTAGTTAACACAGTATCCTGGTAACTTATAGGGCCTTAAACTGTTTAATGTTTTTAACATTTGTATTGTTTGTACGGCTGTTGGGTTTCTTTATTTTTTGGTCCAGCTTATGAGTTAATTGGAAACTCTCCTGAGTCACAAATGTGAGATGGATAGCTATATAAAATAAAAATGCTAGACCAGTTTTGTCCAGGGGTAGGACTCAGGGTTTGTCTTCTTTGGCCTGGGAAACCGATGGGAGCCGTTGTTTCTGCATTGAAAGAAGCCCGCGTGGGACCCCGGTGAGGCTCTTCCTCTTCTGATGCAGGGCTGCCAGGATTCCTGCGCTGGTGCGTCTTCTCAACGGAGGAAATCTGGAAATGCAGCAAGATGGCTGCCGCCTTTAAGAGCCAGAATCTGAAGCCCGAAATCCAGTGTGTTTCAGCCCAGAGTCCAGAGCAGTGCATGGAACGCATTCAGGTGAGAGTTATTTATTTTATTTATCTTTCAAATTTATTGGCCACCCATCTTACTACAGGGTAACTCTGGGTGGCTTACAATATTAAAAATAAAACTGTATAAATAGAATGCCACAAAACTGTAGAAATCCAAAATATGATAGCTAAAAGATGGGGAGGGAGGGAGTAGGATGAATGGGGGGGGGTGGACCTTACATTATAAGCCAGCTTCAATGGGAAGCCCCCCTTACCCCTCCCCCCACTGCAGCCCCAAGCCAGCTGGCAGAGCAGGGGGTCTTTGGGCTCTTGCAGAGAAGGAGGGAAGCATGAGAACGAAAGGCAAAATAACCCCACTAGGACAGACTTTCTAGGTGGTTATTCTCTCCTGCTGAAGGTATTATGGTCCTGCCACGCCTGCTTCTTGATCTGACCTCCCTCCAAAGACTGCCATGGGAAGGGTGGCTGTGGGGGAGTAAAGTTTCTGGAGTTTATTTATCCTCCATGGCCTCCCCAGGCTCCCTGCTGGCAGGACTCTTTGCCCTCCTCCACTCCCGACAAAGCTTAATCCCTTTTGGAGGGTGAGGCTTGGCTGGGTAGCCCCTTCCGTCTTCCTTCGGCTTCTTTTCCTTGGGGCCAGAGAGGCTGCCAGCCCTGTCTCCGGCCGGGAGCGGGACAACCCTCCACAGCCAACTCGTCACGGCCAACTCTCCACAGCCAACTTGCCGCAGGACAACTCTCTGCGGAACAATCTAACAATTCTATTTAACTATTTTAAATAAATAAAAAATATTTTAATTTTTGTCAATCACATTTGATTCTGTCCCTCCTTTTGCATCCTTTCTTTAATGATTCTATTCCACCGTTTCTTTGTTATTAGTGAAATTTTTGTCCAGCAATGAGTTGTCCATGGCGAGTTGGTTGTGGACAGCTGGCCACGGTGAATTATCGTAGACCCCTCCTGCCTGCCCACTGGGAGGCTCGGGCTGGTCCCTTGGCACTGCGGTGGCACACGGGACTGACCCTGGGAGGAAGCCCTGCAGACTGGGGACCTGTCAGGACTCACAGTTTGTGCTACTTGTCTAGACTACCTGGCGGGGCTAACAGCCAGACCAACTTTGTTCTGGCCCTCCCCGGCTGGCTGGCCACAGTGGCGGATTGAATGAGCTGCCTGTGGGGCGGGGGGAGAAAGGGGCTCTCAGGAGGCAGCCAGGCCTTGAAGGGGAGCATTCTGATCTCTCCAAACTTCCTTTCAGAAAAGAGACATTGATGCTGTGGTTCTGGCTGGAAAGGATGTTTATGTAGCCGGGAAGACCTATGGCCTGGTGCCGGCTGCTGCAGAGCACTACGCAGGTAAGAACACACAGGGGCTTTGTGTGCCAGCCGTTCTGCAGCTGTTTGTGGACTCGCCAGGAGTCCGCCAGGAAGTGGAAATATTGCAGAAAGTCTTGGACAAAAGCGATCCTCTTAGGACCTTTCGGATGCCCCACAGCGAAGGCCCCACTGAGCAGATGCCACCAGCGTTTTGCTTTCTTAGACGCCCCACCGAGCTCTCTGGCTGAGGTCGGCTCCATTAATAATATAATAATAATAATAATAGTAGTAAAGTTGGAAGGGACCTTGGAGGTCATCTAGTCCAACCTCCTGCTCGGGCAGGAAACCCTACACCATTTTGGACAAATGGCTGTCCAGTCTCTTCTTAAAAACTTCCAGTGTTGGAGCATTTACTGCTTCTGGAGGCAAGCTGTTCCACTGATTAATTGTTCTCACTCTCCCCTTTCCCGCTTGTGCTGCCCCTTTGATCTCACAAAAGAAAAATGGAAGAAGGAAGACAGCTTCTGGGCATGCGATTACGCCAGTTCTGTTGCAAGCTTCTACTCCTGTCTCTTTTTTTTCTCTGCAACTAGTAGCCTGCATTAACAAATCTCAGGGAAGGTGCAGTTAACAGAAATTATTGGAATAAAGCAAATAATTTAGGTTTAATATTGAAGCATCGTTTTGAATTGAGGATAGTTTTCCTTTCCAGATGGTAGATGGTAGCAGATGAACAGTCCGATTTTCACTTGGTATCCAAAGAGAGAAGCCATCCATAGCTGGCTCTCCATCGCTGCTAGAGGAGATCCCAAAAGCGACTTGGGGATAACTGTGGCCTGGATGACTGAGAATCTCCATACACATTTGCTAGAGGAGATGCAGAAAGAACCCGTTGCCTCAAGCATGGATGCTCTCAGCCAGTTAGATATTTGAGTATATTAGCACTGTAAATGTCTGTGGAGATTCTGAGTCATCCAGGTGACTCATCCCAAAGGTGCTTTTTTTCACGCGGCAACTGGACTTTCTTCTTCGGCTCTGATGAGATGGTGGGGAATGGCAGGATTTATATTCCTTGCAGACAGCTGGTCATCTGCATTCTTTTAGTGGGTAGTGCCATGAATCCACACCTGAGGTGCATTCTTATAGAAGACTTAACTACCCCCTTTCGTTTGGTTGGCCTTTGAAGGTTCAAGGGTTAGTGATAGTGAGATGCGGATGTTATCTGAGTAGGTAAGGCTGGTTTGGAGCCGGTTTGGAGGACTGTAAGCTTAAGACACACTTTCACCTTAAAACTCCTACAACTTCACAAAAAAGGGCCTAAAGTTTCAGCCATTTCAGGGGCACCTGCTTGTTTAAAACCCATAAAATGCTTTCTGACTTATGTTCCTCAAAACAGCTCTTACTTCCTGCATATTCCAAGTTAGTCCTGAAACAGGGAAAAAACAGTGCATTGATCGGTGTGCATTGATTGCTCCATTGTGAAATGTTGTGGGATGTGCCAGCTCTGGCCTAAAACATGTAGTAGTAGTAGTAGTGGTAGTGGTAGTAGTAGTAGTAGTAGTAATAGTAGTAGTAATAATAAAGTTGGAAGGGACCTTAGAGGTCATCTAGTCCAACCCCCTGCTCAGGCAGGAAACCCTATACCATTTTGGACAAATGGCTGTCCAGTCTCTTCTTAAAGACTTCCAGTGTTGGAGCATTCACTGCTTCCGGAGGCAGGTTGTTCCACTGGTTAATTGTTCTAACTGTCAGGAAGTTTCTCCTTAGTTCTAGGTTGCTTCTCTCCTTGATTAGTTTCCATCCATTGCTTCTTGTCCTGCTTTCAGGCGCTTTGGAGAACAGCTTGACTGCCTCTTCTTTGGGGCAGCCCCTGAGATATTGGAACACGGCTATCCTGTCCCCCCTCGTCCTTCTCTTCGTTAAACTAGACATACCCAATTCCAGCAACTGTTCCTTGTATGTTTTAGCCTCCAGTCCCCTGATCATCTTTGTTGCTCTTCTTTGTACTTTTCTAGAGTCTCAATATCTTTTTTACATTGTGGTGATATTGGTTCACTGGAGCTACGTAAGCCTTTCCTAAGAAAGTTGAACTTGAAAAACTCCAAAAGAATGTAACTGTTGATCCAGGAGAAGCCCAGTCCCAGACAGGACAAAAACTGAACCCAGTTTCAACAGGCAGCACAACCCTCATCTTGTTAAGTTAACAACCTTCGGCTAGAATCACAGAACAACAGAGTTGGAAGGGAGCTTGACCAGGTTCTGGTGCACAGGACAGGAAACCTCCTCAGACCATCCCAGGCAAATTCAACTTTGGCTTGAAAACCTCTAGTATTGACACCCCCGTGCCTTCAGGAGATAGGCTGTTCTACTGCTTAATACCACTCTTCTTTATTTTGTGTTTTGCTCTCTCTCTCTGAAAGCCCCTGCTGGTTTCTTCTCAAGAGCTGTGGAGGATAAATCCTCACTTTTTCCCCTGTGATAGCTGTTGTGTCTTAGGCTGAACATAGCCTAGTTTACGGTACCTTCCAGACCCCACCATATTTGACCAAGATGGCAAGGAATGGTTCAGCTCATCCCTCGTCATCACATTTTCCCCATGCACAGGTGGTGGTGGTGGTGGTGGTGGTGATCCTGTATTCTTTTACTGAGCTTGGAGCCTTCTGCTATGTGCAAAATATACCCAGTGAGTGGCCCTAGGTCACCCCTCTGAAGACTTTGTTGAGGCACCCTTGAAGGCAGGGTCGTAGAACGGGACACCTCGAGACTTGCTTTACTCTCTCCTCCTCTTCCCTGTATGCAGAGGGAGATACCGTGAGCACCTACTATGCGGTGGCAGTGGTGAAGCGAGCAACGTCTGACGCCTTCACCATCCATGAGCTGCAACAGAAAAGGTCCTGCCACACTGGCTATGGGCGGATGGCCGGCTGGAACATACCCATTGGCCTGCTGTTGCGAAAGGGGTTCATTCAGCCCCAGGAATGCGACCTTCTCAAAGGTAAAGGGGGAGGGGTGACTGAAGACTGATAGGGCCCAAGCAAAAGCTCACAAGAACTGAGACAATCCTGGCAAAATGAGGCCTTTCAGATCGGGAACAACTGAATAAGGAACAATCCAAACTTAGGCAACAAACCTTGTGAACTAACAGCTGTTACGCTCAGGGATAACTTGGGTCTTGATGCAATTACAGAGAGACGGTTCAGGGATTCCAACATTCAGGGGTATGGGTACACCAGGCTGCATACTGTACAGAAAAGACAGAATAGAAAAGTGTGTGTGGGGGGGGGTTACCCTTTATGTGAAGAAGGGCATGAAAAGCAATCCTAATTCAGAAAACTCACGGTCCACTTGTGAAGCCATCTCGGGGGCAACTGTTCTCTACGTAAGACATCTTAGTAGAAGCAAAAGAAACTCTTTCTGGTTCACAGCAGAGGCACGCAGGATAGTTAAGGCAGAAAAAAATCAGCATATGGAAGATAGAAGGATAGCAGAAGGGTAGTTGCTAAAGAAGGAAGGAAGACATTAGTGTTGCTGAAGTGCAGAAAGAAGACGAACTGGCTAAATCAAGGCTTTTCAACCAGTGGTACGGGTACCCCCTGTGGTACATTGGCACCTGGCAGGTGGTTACGCGACCATCCTAGAAAAGTGGTAGCGGGGGAGGGGAATGAGCTGAACCGGTGGCAGCACCGCACAAGCCTGAGCGAGAGACGGCTGGAGCTGCAGGGCTGTCAGGGCTTAGTGGAAGCATCAGGATCAGCGCCAGGCTCCAGCTGGAGCTCGGCGCTGATCCTAGCACGTCTGCTGAGACCAGAAGAAGCACCGATCATCTGGAATGTTGCAGCATCTCCAGAGTCTTATGATTTACATTCAGATGCTTGGCAACTGATTCATATTTATGATGGTCACAGTGTCCGAGGGTCATATGAAATAACCAAAACCTGCTGCAACCACCAGCAGATGGGGGGAATAAAAACTAAGCACCTCCCCACCCCACCTCCGCTGCCAATCCTCAACAGAAATGCTCACAACAATGAAAACCTCGGACAGGAGGAAGAGCGCAGCTGGGTGGTGTCTTGCTCGGCTGTGGCTTGGGCACTTTTTTTCAGTGCCATTGTAACTTCAAACAGTCACTAAGCGAACTGTTGTAAGTCGAGGACTACCTGTACTTTATCAGTTTTTTCCTTTTCTTTTTTGGTCATCAAGTTTTTGACACCTTGCTAGGCGACTGGTGGTACTCGGATACTGCCATATCCTAAAAGTGGTACAATGGGTGAAAAGGTTGAAAAGCCCTGGGGTAAATCTATTAAAAATGGGGGATAAAAAGGGGGATTTTTAAAAGGTACATTAGCGACAAAAGGAGGAAAAAACAGCAATCACCAGTGTCAAAAATGAAAACAATTCTTATGTCCCAGAGTTCCAAGGGAACTTCTAGGGGTGCTTGTTGGACCCTTAATTGACCTGTTCAACTATCTCTTCTAACCAGTGAAGTTCCCCAGGATTGCCAAACAGCTAATCTTGTGTTGAAGAAGGGGTTAGGGAAGAAGCGGAAAACTATAGACCAGTGAGCTTAATATCTGTAGTGCAGGCGGTTCTCAACTTACAACTGCAACCAAGCCCCAAATTTCTATTGCTAAGCGGTTGTTAAATGTTTTGCTCCGTTTTATGACCTTGCTTGCCACAGTTGTTAAGTGAATCACTGCAGCTGTTAAGTTAGTAACATGGTTGTTTAGTGAATCAGTCTTCCCCATTGACTTTGTTTGTCAGAAGACCACAAAAGGGGATCACGTGACCCCAGGATGCTGCGACCGTCATAAATACGAGTCAGTTGCCAAGTGTCCGAATTTTAAACACGTGAACATGGAGATGCTCCATCAGTTGTAAGTGTGAAAAATGGTGATAAGGGATGAGGTATGCTGGTGACACTCAGCTCTCCATCTCCATCCCCGGTGACCCAAGTGACGGGGTGACCTGCTCTTCCTCAGCACCTGGAGGTTTCCAGGTCCGGATGGGGGACTGCTGGCTTCAGCTGAACCCAGGCAAGATGGAGTGGCTGTGGACGCAAGGGACCTCTCCATCTGGTGGTTTATCATCATTAATTCTGGATGGGGTTGCATTACCCCAGACAGATCTGGTGTGCAAACTGGACTCATGACTCCTGCTCAACGTGTAGTTTGGCTAGAAGGTCCCTTGTACAACTTCGCATTGTGCACCAGCTGTGCCCTTACCTGGATCCTGAGGCCCTGTACATGGTCACTCACGCCCTATTCATCGCTCGTCTGGATTACTGCAATGTGTTCTACGTGGGGCTACTCTTGAAGAGTAATCAGAAGCTGCAGCTGATGCAGAATTGCAGGGGTGCGTACGCGCATAGTCCTGGGAGCACCTAGGGCTGCACATAGAACATTATTAGTGTGTGAGCTGCATTGGTTGCTAGTTTGCTTCCGGATCCAGTTCAAGGCATTGGTTGTTACCTTCAAAGCCTTGCCTGGCATGGATCCAGGGCATCTGAGGGGGCTGGCCCGGCCACTTGTGCCAGCGAAAGAGGCCTGCCACGGATCCCAACTGCTCAACTATTGAATCAAGCAGCCTTTTCTGCTGTGGAACACTCTGCCACTGGAGGCGGGAACTGCCCCTCCCTCTGGGCCTTCTGGAAGAGTCTCAAAGCCTGGCATGGTCGGATGGGCCCTGGGGCCCCGAGGCGGGCCGCTCACCGCTGGGGGTGACTGATGGGGTCATAAGACCTCACACCCATCCCATCTGCCTCTCTTGGCTCTTGTAGGCCTGGCTTTAGCACAGATTTTAATAATATTTGAATGTTTGTTTTAAACTTTTAATTATTTTTCACTTGTTGCTACAATTTGTAAGCTGTCCAGAGTTACCTGGTAGGGGAGATGGGTGACGTAGGAATTTAATAAATAAAGAAATAAAATTAAGTCACTTTTTAAAGCGCGGTTGTAACTTCGAACAGTCACTAAATGAATGGTTGTAAATTGAGGACTACCTGTACTGACGTTAATGGAATCACTCCTGAAAAAAAAAAAAGATTAATGAACATTTAAAAGCTCACAGTTTGATGGACCCAAAGCAAGAAGCCTCAGGGCTTTACTGAGGGCAGATCAGATCGAAGTAACCTGATTGGTTTTTTTTTTAAACTAGGCCACAAATGTTTTGGGCAAAGCTGGTGCTATGGACGCAGCCCAGGTGGACTTTAGCCAAGCATCGGACACTGTTCCAGAGCAGGAGCTCACGGGAGTGTGGTTCAAGCGAGGGCTTAACCGCTGGGCGGCTCAGTGAATAGAGAGCCAGCTCAGGGACAGAGATCCCAGTGTATGTGGTTGTTAAGCGGGCCACTGCCTGAACAGGGACCCATCACCAGCACCCCGAGGCTCAGCCCCCGCCCTGGTCCGTTCAGTGGCTTTGCGAGTGGCAGAACAGAAGGATCCCTGGGTCAGATCCATCTTTCTACTGATGACCCAAACATGTATAATAGAGTCGATATTCTTGGGGTATTCATAGCATATAAAACAATTTGGCACTTCTGGAAAATTGGTCAGAAATGTGGAAACTGCAGTTCAATGTTTTTAAGATCATGCAGTTGGGGGGGGGGGAAAGAATCCCCAAGCAGAGTATACAGTGTTGGGGGCTCCATGTTAGACAGAACCATAGTAGAAGAGGATTTAGGGGTGCTCACAAACAGAAGACAGCGACCTGAGTGTGGCCAGGCAGCTGTGAAGGCAAAGGAAATTCTGGGATGCATCCCGAGAGGGGATCCCCAGCAGGAAGAAGGAAGCCCCAATCCCTCCAGGGAGGAATTTAGTCAGACCTTATTTGGAACACGTGTCTCCAGTTCTGGGGACATCACCGAAGATCACTGCTAAGGCAGAGCGAGTCCAGAGATGGGCAACAAAAATGGCGCAGTCTGAGGGGCAAAACGTTATCAGGAGAGATGGGAGGAAATGAACATTGTACGCCTGGAGGACAGAAAGGAAAGGACTGGAGGGGGGCATGATTGAAACATTTAAATATATGAAGGCTGTGAATAAGATTCTAGAAGGCAGCATTTTCAATACTGAGCAAAAATCAAGAATATAGGGGTATAACCTCAGACTGACAGGAGGGAAGTTCAAAAGTCATGTGAGAAAGGATAACTTCAGAAAGGAGTCGTGGAAGCTTGGAACCAACGCCCAGCGGCAATTGTGAGTCGATCTTCAGTGGTTCTCCCTACAGTTGCCCTCATGGGCTCTCCCTGGCTCTGTTCTTCTGGTTTCAGCGGTGAGTGGCTTCTTCTCCACCAGCTGCATTCCGACAGCCGAGAAGGAGGGCTACCCTGCCAACCTCTGTGAGCTCTGCATTGGGGACAGCCAAGGAAATTTCAGGTGCAACGCCAGCAGCCAGGAGACGTATTACGGCTACACAGGAGCCTTCAGGTAACCAGGCAGGCGGCTTCACTTCCAGTTTTAGGAAGGAGCAAGCTTCATGCCTTAAGTCTGGACTAAGTCACTCATGTCTGTCTGTCTGAGTGGTACTTCAGCATGGCCAGTACCAGAATGGAGAAGTGCTGAGTTTTATCTGCATTTGGGTGTCAAAAGTATGTAGATGTTGCCTATTAAAAAAATAAGGAGGAGACAAAACATTCTCAGCACCAGCTAGCTTTGTCTAGGGCTTACTTTTTCAGCTGTGGGAGCAGTGCCTCTTGTACTCTGGCTACCATCACCCCCCCAGCCCCCCAGCCCAGCTATCACCAGTCACCATGGTTGGGAGAGAGGAGAGAGCAAGCTTCCCTCTTCCCTGGAATAAATGGAAGCATTATTTTGCAGAGAGGAGAGAAGCAGGGTGCAGGGGCTGCTCTTGGCACCTTTCTGTGGGAGGTCCAGCCTAGCAACACGCTTGCCTCCCTACACCAGAATGGCTAACAGGATTAATGTCCTCTTTGCAGATGCTTAGCAGAGGGTCATGGTGACGTGGCTTTTGTCAAGCACAGTTCAGTCTTCGAAAACACCGATGGTAGGTGGGCTCTTTTCTCACATGGCTGTGTTGATTGTCACGTCCGAAATGCTTCAGCCTCTCTTTCCTTCTTTCAGGGCACAATACTGATGCTTGGGCCTCAAGACTTCGGTCTGGCGATTTCCAGCTCTTGTGCCCAAACGGTGCCCGTGCTGAAGTTCCCCAGTTTGCTCATTGTCATTGGGGCCAAGTGCCTCCTCGTGTCATTATGGTCCACCCAGACACCAGTGCCCTGGTTGTGTACGGGCTTCTGCGTAAGGCTCAGGTAGGCTTAGTCCGAGAAGTGGGGGGGGGGGAGACTGCTGCTTTTGAGTTGCTCCTCGTTTGCATGACGGGGCGATTAGCTTTTCTCCATTACTTTTTAGGAGAGTTCCAGTCTGGCTAGGTGAGTCTGCCATCACTAAGCAGGCTGGGAATACAAGACGAGGGACTTTACCACTAGCTTGTTATTGTTATTTTTAATATTTAATATATTTAATATTTAATATAATTTATTGTAATAAATAAAAAGCTAGTGATATTATCATTATTACCGCTAGCTTTTTATTTATTGTTAGTATTTATTATTATGCTGTAGTTTCCTACATATTGTAGGAAATAAAAAGTAATAGGCTGGATTTCTACAATATGCTAACAAAACAAGGAAACAGACATTGAAACAACCTAGCTGTGCTTCCTGTGCGAATGCAGCCAGCACTTTGGCAGACCCAGTTAAGCACGTTGAGTAAACCCAAAGAGGCTACTGCATAAGAGGCAAACTGAAGTGTAGTTGTGGTGATGTCATTTTCAAAAGATCAGGTGGAATAGTTCCTCTGTTCTGAACCAGTCAATTCCCTCTAATGTTTTGTCTAGACGTAATCCTGAGATGCAGAAAAAAATAGAATACTGTAAAAAAGAGTAAAGAGAATTCAAGGGATTTGAATTAAGTCCTAGAAGGAGAGATCCATGGAAGTGGATGTTTGAGAAGACTAAGAGAGGAAATCAGAACCTATCCTTTGCTATGTCATGTGCAACACCGGCGGTGTGTTGGGATTATGGGGCTGGAACAGCCTGTTCAAGGGCACTCTGGGACTAGCATGGCTCTCTTGTAGCTCAACCTGCTTCCCAAGAGTGCTGCTGTAAGAATAAAGGAAGATCCACGTGTAAGTTGTCACCTTGAGCCCCTGGAGAAATGGCAAGATAGAAATGCACGTACAATAGTCTTAGAGTGCAGGATACGGAACAATGGACTTAAGCCATAGGTTACTTGTTAGGATGGAAAGTTAGATCAAAGTCTTAAAAGTGAGCAAAGGAAGAACAATTCCTTTCCTCCCCCATTATATAAAACACGTTTCTGGAACCAAAGTCCGTAACATAGGCAATACAGATAGACTTCTTGGACAAGGGTTGTAAAAAAAAAGGATTCTGTGTTCTTGATACACACAGCATTTACAGTATATGGGGAAGTGCAGGAACATGAAAGCCAGCCACATCACTGAGAGGCCAGGCTGCCAGTCCCAGGGCCGGAGGGTCACCCCTGCACAGTCTGGAAGGAACCGGTTAGTGGACAGACAGGCTGCCTCCTCCTTACGTCTACAGAGGCTGCTCTTTATCCAAGTTGTTAATGGAGATTTCTTTCCCCACATACCATTACAGCAACAGAATCAGAGGAGACAAAAAACATGGGGTATTTATTTGTACAGGCATAGCACACAATGTGGATACTGAATTTTCTGAGCCCAGTTTAGGGTTTGACACGCTTGGATGCTCATGCTCCCCGATGGCTGAAGCTGCCTGGGACCCAGACCAGCCTGGCTGCTCCCTTTCCTCCGAAGGAAAGAGGGCCTGGACAGGGTCCCCAGCAACCCCTGGCAGAGAATGACCCTGGGCTGTCAGAAAAAAACTCTTGGGTTTAACTTTCAGGATTTCTTTGGTGATGACAACAACCCGAATGGATTTAAAATGTTCAGTTCATCAGAATTCCAAAAGCAGGATTTAATCTTCAAGGATTCCACAGTTGAAATTGTGCCAGTGGGAGAGAGAAGAACATTCGAGTCCTGGCTGGGGCAGCCGTTCCTGGACTCTTTAGAAGGCCTGGAATCCTCCCAGTGTTCAAGAGCTGGTGAGACCTTTGTGTTGTGGGACAGCCCCCCCCCCCGCTCCATTTCCCGTTAACAAGGAAAAAGAAATTCTTTAAGTAACAACTGCTAGGAAGATCCTTAACTGTCTGGGCTGGTAATGTAGAGGACCTCCATTCCATTTACGGAAAGCCAGTCTAGAGACGAAAAATGATCCATACGCCTCCCTGAATGATTCAGGCCAGTCTTATTTCTTTCAGCTTTTAAGGACTGAATGTGTGGGGTATATGTGAGTTATACACGTAGATAGTAAATAGTAGGGCTTACGTTTCACACGCAGCCTGTATTCCGTTCTGTTGCAACCATCTGCAATTAACAGATGCAGCAGAAGCCACGTACACGCCCAACTGCTCTCAATGTGGAAACCCACTTGGTCAAATCAAAATCAGCCATCCCGGGGTGAACTTCATAAATTGAGTCCGTAAGTTCAGTCTAGATTGCTGAGTCACTCAGGCTGACTCCATAAATTCAGTCTAGATTGCTAATAATATTTGTATGTTTTTATTATTGTTACACTCCAGCTTCCAAGCCTCCGAATGCGATTTTCCTCCTGATGACAATTCTGACTCTTGCAACAATTTCCACTTTGTGAGCCAGAGCTCAGGGGCAAAAGTACAAAACACAACCGCAAGACTTAAAAATCTAGGGAATCCTCATGGACTCAATCAACGATTTGTGGAATATTTAATTTTCTTCCCTGTCTAGCCTAAATACCGTGGCATTCTAGTTGATAAGCCAGCTTTTTAACCATGACGTATTGAGCAAATCATAGTGACCTTCTTTGCCCAAAATGCTGAGATCTCATGGATGGACTTGGACATCATGTAAAATGAAGAGCACTGAAGCTAGATTGTGTGGTAGCGGGTGTGAATCAGGGCCTGCTCTAAACTGCCTTTTCATAACAACTGTCTCATTTGGGAGTCCGGGGCTTTTTTCTTGGCTGTGCTAATCTGGAATTCATTACAGTACGCAATTCTCTTTCCTCTGGAACACAATAATTAATGTGCATGTTAAGTGACAGGAGATTCTTGTTGTGAACTACAAAGCATGAAGAGTACAAAGAGCAGGTATCAATGGAGAAGCGCAGCACGGATGATCTTTCTGCCAATACTGCTTTGGCAATACCTGTGGCTCCACCAAAGACAAAAAGGCTGGAAATGCTCCCCCTGCGGCCATAGGATCCGACCTCAGCAGATAAAACAGGCTGATTGCAGGACAGACTGTTTTGGATGTGACCCATTCAATAGTCTTACTTGATCACAGGAGCTGTAAAAGCCTCGGTGTGTTTTGTAGATGTGAGATAGAAATATTTTTAAATAAAAGAAAAAGAATAACAACCGATGGGAAATTAAATAATATGGAAACTAAAAAAGATAGGGTTAAAAAATAAACCGAAAAAAGAAAAGCTATGCATTTGTATCGTGGAGTTGAGTCAATTGGAGTCAGGCTGTATCCAAGTAGAATAAAATAAATACATAAATAAATCAATTTTAATTAAATTAAACTATCGCATAAAATTGTATCAATCAGTTTTCCATCTCACTGGTAGAAGCTCAATTCGTGAATATATGCATGTCTTTCATTCTGGCTATTAAATTGCATGTACTATGGAAGTCTTTCCACCGGAATAAAACAATTTTCCTAACTCCCGACTGCACACGCTCCATTCTCCATTTGATAGTTTCCAAATTTTCAGAATATTATTTAGCATCATGTTCCACCTTTGAGCCCTCTTTTCTTTCTCAACACCTGTTTTCAATGTTCCAAATTATGTCTCTTCTGTTACGCTTCCAACGAAGGCTGAAATCTCAGCTTCACTTCACGTGCTCAGACTGAAAATGTGTGGAACTGGATCACTCTCATTATTTCAAACGAATTGAAAGTTTCCCTTGTCAATAGTAAATAAAAATTGACTAACAATAGTCATAATGTACCAGGTTGAGAAGCAATTAATACATCACATCCAAGTAACAGAATAACAGTTAGAGGGGAATTGGAGGTCTTCTAGTCCAACCCTTCTGCTCAGGCAGGAGACCCTATACCCTTCCAGACGAGTGACTGTCCAGTCTCTTCTTTAAAATCTCCAGGGATGGAGTGCCCACGACTTCTGGAGGCAACTGGTTGATTGCTCTGTCAGGAAATTCATCCTTAGTTTTAGGTTGCTTCTTTCTTTGGTTAGTTTCCATCCATTGTTTGGGCGGTCGCCTGCTTTTGAACAGCTGAGTTGGCAGGAACTGGAGCATGCGTTGAGAGCCCACCCCATCTGGCAGCAGCAACCGGGTCTTGGACACAAGCCTGCCTGTCACCCTATCAGCATCCTAACCTCATGGATCACCACGCCCCTGCAGATTTAGTTTACCCAACACAATCCACCCAATTTTAAACTACAATATTATAGGTGTCTGGTAAAAACCATGACAATGGCACCACTGGTCAAGTAAGATCCACTGTATAATATGCACCAAGACTTGCAGAACATAATTTTATCTTGTGAATGATGACAGGTGCATATGACATTGCCCGCACCCAAATGCTGCTGTATACTAGTTAGCGATCCATTCATTGTTCTTGCTGATTCAGTGGACACATATGGGCCAATTAATTATCTAGCACATGCTTAGGCACAATGGCATCGGGCTCTTTTTTTTAATGGTTTAATATCTTCATCAAATTCTGTCTGTTTATTACTAAAGTAACAATAATTAAAAACATGGTATAAACAGAGGCGATTAGACTTCCAATTCAGGCAATTTTCAGGCAAAATTTCACGGGCCTCTTGGGTGCTTAATTCCTCCCAGCCCTTTAAGGCTTCCTTTCTTCGGTGTATCTTGCTCGCTCTACGGTTCTATCCATCGAACGTCGCTTCTCGCATCTCTCGTGGAAACGCTGCCGGCTCCGATTAAAAAGCAAACCGGCTTCCCCTTTCCCCGGTTCCAATGCGGCGACGGCGCTCGAGCAGCCCGAGAAGCTGGCGGTCGCTTTTAGGATCCAGATCCGCTCCGGGTTCAGGATCGCGTCCCTATCCGGAGGAAAGGGGAGGGCGAATCCGATGCTGCATTGAGAGCCGCCCGGTCTCCCCAGCAGGAGCCTCGCCGGGCAGCCTTCCGGGCGCAAACCTGGGCCTGCTGTCCGCAGCCCTCCGCCGCAGGGGGACGCCGGGGGTTCGCACCGGGGAGGGGCGGGGGGCGCGGCACCCTCCGCAACTGTCCTGCCCCCGCGCCGTCTCCCACGCCGCCGCCGCCCGGGGGGGGGAGGGAGGAGAGGCTCAGCTTGGCCCGCGGGGAGGGGGGAGGTCCGTCCCTCGGTCTCCGCCGGGAGGGTCCCGCGGGGGTGGGGGGGGCGCCAGGGGGGCCGCGCGCCAACCGCTCCGGCTCTGGGGGGAAAAGCAAACGACGCCGAATCCGGTTGCCCAGCCTCTCCACAGTTTCTACAGAAAGCGGGGGGGGGGGCTCACGGGCTCCGCCCCTTCTTCGACCCGGGGGCGCGAGGGGCCCACCCGGCGTCCTTGGCGCGCGCCGCTTCCTCCTTCAGCTCGCGCAGGAAGGTTTCGCGCAGGCGCAGTCCGCGCGTGAGGGCCGCAGCCGTGAGGCGCGCCGCTGCCCGAATGGGCCGCGCCTCGGCCAGCCGGTCCAGGAACCGAGGGTCGTTGAGCAGGGCGAAGAGCAGCCGTCGCAGCACCATCGTCGCCCGCGGGGCCGCTTTCCGCGAGCTTTTCTTGCCTGAGGCGTCCCGCCGGCAGGCCGTACGCGCTGCTGTGTCCCCCGGGCTGCGGGGCTGGCGTGGGCGGAGTAGCAGAAGCAAAGACCACTCCGCCCAGTTCTGTAAGGGTGACCTTCCCAGTATGGCCGACTTCCTGTCTGCGACTTCCCAGTATGGCCGACTTCCTGTCTCCGCAAGCCAGCGGCAGAGCACCGGTGGTAGTGGTGACGCCCCCCAGCGGGTGGGAGGCCGGATGTTTTTGCACTCTCTTCGATTTCGGCTTTGGGAAAACGAGGGGCCCGAATGAGGAACATAGAGATAAAGTTCATTTGTGTCAATTCCAGAGATGCTTTTTTCAGGAGGCAACTGGACTCTTGTTTTTCTTTGAAGAAGTTTTGCTTCTCATCCAAGAAGCTTCTTCAGCTCTGACCAGATGGTGGGGAATGGAAGGATTTATACTCCTTACAGACAGCTGATCATGTTGAGGCCACCTGGAGGTTTGTCTGTATCCTCAGGGTCACCTGAGTGGTGCAAATGGGTGTGGAGCCTTCTTTGAACTTCTTGGAAAGAGGAGTCAAAGAGGTCATCTATGTCAAAATTGAACAGCCCTCTCTCAACAAGAGGGGAAGGGATACACAACACCATCTATTTCCATTCTACAGCACAGTCCGTTCAACAGGTCCAAGAAGGCTCCACACCCATTTGCACCACTCAGGTGATATATATATCAGATATACCAGCCACAAGGGGTCCAAATTTGGATACGCTGATGATTTGGCCATAGAAAGTGCAAGGAAAACAGACAGAGGTGGCAAATATTTTACTGTGGTTTTAATCTGGGTGAAATGTTAATACAGGTAGTCCTTGATTTACAATAGGTTGTTTCGTGATCATTTAAATTTACAATGGCAGTGAAAAATATGACTTCCTCATGATCATGTGATCAAAATTCAGACTGCTTGGCAACTGGTTCATATTTATGATGGTTACCGTGTCCCTCCTGAAAAAGCACCTTTAGTTCAACAACTTGGTTTTTCCCTGCCACCTTTGTCCAAAGCGAGACAGGATTAGGAAGGGCAGAAGATTTCTTCCCTTTCTCTCCATAGCGTCGGAAACAGCCTGCCCACTGCCCAGGTATGCAAGAAGGAAAAGTGGGTCTCTTAGGCAATTTTGCTGACCTCCCCCTTTCACAGCCGCATTCACTGATGTAGCAGCCCTGTGGGCCAGGCAGAAGGGCAGGAGTAGTGGATAAAGGAGGTTCTGCTCCTTGGGTTTCCTGGCTAGAGCGCCCACCGGATGGGTGACCTGCCTTGCTGTAGCTGTTAAGAAGGAACTCAAAAAAACTGATTAGCTGTCCTTGAGGATTTTTTTTTCTGTCCCGTAGCTATAGCTTGGAGTCCATCGTAGGCCTTTTTAATGGCCTCCATCCTATAGCTAAGGGACGGAAAACTGGTCAAATCAGATACTGCAGCCACAAAAATAAATAAACCTCTTTAATGGTGTTTTAAGATGATTATTCTTTATTATAAAAAACTTATTAATATTAATAAGCCACGATAGGCCTTAACTCGATTTAAGATTCGAACCAGGATTTCTTCTGCGCCTGTGTCGCACCAACCGGGCCTCCCGCCACCCCATTAATAATAATAATAGAGTTAATAATAAAAATAGAGAAGAATAAATCGGCGACAGCAATACCCAATTTGACCACAGGAGGGCACGGTTTCCCATTCCGTAGCATTAACATTGAGGACGCCGTAGGCCTTTTGCCCAGGATCAGGATATCGAGAAGCTAGGCCCCAAAGCGCAGAGCGTTAGCTAAAGCGTCGCCACTCTATGCTCCTCCGAAAGGGACAGGCTGCTTCCGTCAGCCTTCTGCGTATGTTCGCCAGTTTCTCATGAGTAATCTCCGAGAGGCTTCTCGGCATGGCGGACTTCCTATCCGACGATATCAGCCGTCCTGTGGAAAAAGGACCTTTCCATCATGGTCGACTTCTGGTCGATCATTCTTAATCATTCCACAACTTCCTTTCACAGAAACCTTCTTGGCATGGTCGACTTCCTGTCCGCTCAAATCCGCCATCCTCCAGAGCCTTTAGAAAAAAAAAAGACCTTTCCATCATGGCCGACTTCCGGTCCGTTCTTCTTACTCATCCTCCATCTTTTGCGGCGACCTTCTGGGCACGACGGACTTCACGACTTCACGCCTGATCAACAAGGTCCGTAAACTTAAAACCCCATTAAAAATGTTTATTTCTTTTTGGCGGCTGCAATACCCGTTTTTGACCACAGGAGGGAACAGCTTTCCGTCCCATAGCATTAGCATCGAGGCCGTCGTAGGCCTTTTCGACGGCCTCAATGCCGCTTTCGCTAAGGGATGGAAAATAACGCCCTCCAGTGGTCCAAGACGGTTATAGTAGCCCCCAAAAGAAATAAACCTTTAAAATGGCGGTTTAATGGCGGTTATTCTTTATTAATAACGCCTTACTAACATTAGGTTATCTTATTCTGCCGCTGCGTCGCAGCGAAAGGGCCTCCAGTCACCCTATTAATAGTAATAAGAGGTTAATAATAAAGATAGGGGAAAAATAAATAACCTTAAAATTCCAATTAAAAGGTTTATTTCTTTCAGCGGTGGCAATACCCATTTAGACCATAGGAGGGCACAGTTTTCTGTCCCATAGCATTAGCACCGAGACCTTCTCGACATGCCGGACTTCCCGTCCGTCCAGATTGGCCATGCCCCAGTGCATTGGGAACCAACTTTTCTATAATGACCGGCTTCCTGTCCGTCCTTCTTAGTCGTCCCTGCCAACTTCCTTTCGCAGCGACCTTCTTACCATGGAGGACTTCCTGTCCGTTCATGCGGTCGTCCCCAAGGCCCTTTGATGACCTTCCCAGTACGGCCGACCTGTCCATCCGTCGATGCCGTCCCCAACTTCCTGTCCGTTCGCAGCACGGTTCCCTGCTTTTTCCCGCCCTCTTTTCTGCACTACGCTGATGGAGCGCACGTCTACCAGCATGGCCGCAAGAAGGAAAAAAGGAAGCCCGGTACTGGCTCAGATGAGCCAAGTCATCCCCGCATTTCCTGATTCCAGAAAGATACCGGGTTTTTCTGTTACCTAGTTAGCGGAGGATCCCCACCTTCCCCCTCCACCCTGGCCACTCATTTGGTCCTCTCCCCTAAGAAGACCGCCTGGCTGTTTCTGGCCTTTTGCCGCGTCTGTAAGGAAAGCGACCGAGAACCGGTGGTGTTAGTGCCACCAGAGGTTGTGAGACCGGGTCTTCTTGCGGTCTTTCCCATTCAGCTATAGAAAAACAAGGGGCTAAATTGGGAACATAGAGATGAAGTTAGTTTGTTTCAATAATATGAACATGTATTAGCTTCGCAAACTCCAGACAACTTGTTGATTGGAAAAATTAACATATGTTGATAGAAAAAAAATTAATAAAAAAGATTGTTAAAAAAAAGAAAAACGAGGGGCTAAATTGGGAACGTAGAGTTGAAGTTAGTTTGTTTCAATAATACACTTCGGGGTTGTTTACGTATGCTCAGTTGCGGCTTCTTTTTAGTTCCTTTTTAGAGCCGAGGCCGGCGGGGCACGCTCAAGGCTTTTGGCGTCCGAGTCGGGAAGGGGATTCTGTCCCATCTCGGGGGTGTCCTCGAAGGCTGCCAAACAAGGCAGTTGTTTAATGATGTTTTCCCGCGCCCGAGTAGAAGAACCAGTTGTATCGCGCTACCCTGTGTTACACCGTAACAGGTTCCTCTTAAAAGTGTACCCCGCTCACCCCCTCCAACCAAACCAAGATGTTTTTATTCTAGAATAGTTTTGTTTGTCCTGCCCTGCTATTTCTTTAAGGAGATTGTACGTATGTATGTTTGTATTTACGTTTGATCTTTCTAAAGAGATACCTATGTATTAATATAGACTGAATATTAAATATCTAATTGAAATAAGTTGTTTATATTTTTATTAAGAAATCATAAATATAAAAATAAATATAATTTATTTTGAAAAGGTATATATCGATCCCTTATAGGTTTATCATTTAAAGTATGGATAAAACGGATAAGACGTGAGAAGTTGTAACTAATGGAATGTATTAATTTGTTCGCCGTCCATCTAACTTTGTAGACCTTTGTCCAAAGCAAGTCAGGGTTAGGAAGGGCAGGAGATTCCTTCCTTTCCTCTCCAGGTTGCTGTAAACAGCCCATCCATCGCCCAGAGGTAAGAGAAAGGAAAAACAGGTGTTTTTATTTATTTCTTTGGGCGGCAGCAGTACCCGTTTCTGACCACAGGAGGGCAGTGTTTCCCGTCCCATAGCGTTAACAGGGAGGCCGTCGTAGGCCTTTTGCCCAGGATCGGGACACCGAGAAGCTAAGCCCCAAAGCGCAGAGCGTCAGCCAAAGGGTTGCCACTCTATGCTCCTCCGAAAGGGACGGGCCGCTTCCCACGGCCTTCTGCGCATGTGCGCTGGCTGGTTCTTGAGTAATCTGCGAGAGGCCGTCTCTGGATGGCGGGCTTCCTGTCCGTCGGTATCGGCCGTCCCCCATAATGTCCGACTTCCATCCCTTCGT